GGTGTTGTTACAGTTGGCTCCAGACTCACAACACTAACTATGGTTCAGTTCTATTCTTTCTCCCATTAGCCTTTCAGCCAGGTACCTAGCTGCAAATTCCTTGCGTTGCGCGATGCTGACGACATTTTCGATTATGAAACCCTTCTGTATTTAGGCATGCGATATGGCAGCTGCTGAAGCATTGAGAAAGAACCGCAAGAAGAGCATCTGTACATCTTCGACGAATAAAGCCTTTCGCAACGATTTGTTTTTTGAGATGAAAGTCCAATTTGCGGCAAACTGCTGATGTAGGTGCGTCTGCTGCAAGTGTATCGCAACAGCCGAGCTGCTGCTGGTTTGTATGCAACAATAAGTCATGGGGGAGGAGATAAACCCGTATCGCGGGGGATACTGAGGTTCTGTGCATCATCGCAACAACATGCATTGCAATGTGTCATCGGTTCAACTCGCATCTTGTGCAGGAGAAAAGCTGCATGCCAGCGATGCTGCAGTTGAAGGGGGGGATGGCACGCAGCACATTGTGGACTGAGAGTTAGAGGCCGCCGCCGGCAACCCCGCACTGCTGACACGCGTGATGAAAGTAGTGCAGCAGCCCAAATCGAAGAGCTAACACGCAGCGGGTAATGTACAGATGAGGATGTTGGATTTCAACTGCTCCACATGCATTGTAATAACCCGCAGGATTCCCTTGAACCAAAGCATTCCAAATCCGATGAAATCCGATGTAATAAGCCCGGCTCGCTGCCCATACACACACTTACTAATTCCCGTACCGCCGCGTTTACACGGACTTGCCAATGTTTCTTTAATACCTACAGTCCACAAAATTGATTTAACCGTACCCACGAGGCCCCTCAACGCACGCGGTCCGACATGATGACAGGTCTGCATCGTCCACGAGCCCACACTCGCCCATTTCCGTGGCGGCTCATACCCCTGAGCCCCTTAGCCGCCCGTTGACCAGTCGTGTGCCATGGACCAGCAACACAAGGGTTTACACACAAACACCCAAAGGCTCATCTATTTCCCGCTACGTCCAGGGAGAAGCTGCGCTTCGGGCAGGCGGGCATCCTGTGTGTGTGTGTTACATGGTTGCGGGTGCGTGACCCCATACCTGTAAGACTACCCATACGAGCCGGGCATTCGAATGCGAACGCAGGTCAAGTTAATTGCCTGAGGAATAGATATCAGTACATTGTCCTCAAAATCCACATATGGATGTTATGCTACACAGTGTGGCTGTACCAGTCGCGTGTAAGCCTTTTCCCTATGGCGACCCGAAGGGCGGACCCACGGTGTAGACCGGACAGCACCTCCTGTCGGGGCCGAACATGTACAGGTAGCTGGTCGAGCCACAGCAGTCGACGGCCCGATGTTGCGGCGGGGCGGGGCGGAAGGACAGGACAGAAGCGGGCAGGAGAGCAAAGGGCTGGATTTAGATTAAGCTAAACTTTACTTGTAGCTATCATGTTGAGGCAAGCGAGGCCAGTAGTCGAAGACAGAAGCGGCCGCAGGAGGGCAAATGGCAGACGATTTTGGGAGGGATTTGGGTTGAGCTAGGCCAAAACACTTATCATCGTGATGATGACTCGCCAGATGGCAGAAATGAGACCACAATTAGTTTGCAAACGAGCTGACAGGTGGTCCCAAGCCGTTTTCGACTCTATATGAGCAGGCGCTAGGTGGGGGCAAGCAAGGACCCGACGGTGTGAATTTCTAGCATCATGCCAACCAGCCGTACCTAGGTAACCCTGGGGCCAGGACCCCGACATCTGCCCACCACTGCGCACTCACCCGCACAGAACTCGATCTTTTGCAACGTATCGGTAGGGCCGCAGGGGCTCTAAGTACCCCATGAAGACGGAGAAGGCATGGATTGGTACGACAACGCAAAAAGCAGCCAGCAATAAGTAGGGGGGAAAGGGCAAGAGGACATGACACGTGTGTTGCGGGGTTTTAGTTACGACACGTGCAGCAACCGGACATTCGAGCACCATCGGCATCGGCCATGTTGAGACCCAGATTAGTGATGCGCAGGATGACGCCAGCCGGTTCGTTGGGAGCCCGGTCAAGCGTGGGTGCTGTGGGTGTTGGCTTGCCGTTGAGGGTGGCACTCAGCTTGGCGCTGGAGACCTTGCATTCTGGATTGACGTTTAGCTGCAGCGGAAGGGGAGGTGAGGGTCGGTGGCAGGAGGTGTTTGGGGGGGGGGCGTGAATGCCTTTCAATGGAAAAGGGCCAGGAATCATAAGTCCCAGGGATTCGGAAGGAAGTTAATCGAAAGGCAGGAGAGCCTGTCCCTGGGACGCTCCTAAGCCCTAGAGTGGTTAAGCAGCAGGAGGTTTTGAAAGGCGACAGTGAGCCTGCCTTCGTGGCGCTTTACGTAAGAAAGGAAGGAAGGAGGCGAACGAGCGAAAGGGAGAGGGCAAGAGGGGCTTAAGGTATACAGGGTGCGAAAAACCAAGATTACGGTGCGGGATGGGAACGGCTGAGTAAAAATTGAATGTACGGGCAGCTACCAAGCCTCGCAAGAATGGGTATCTGGTATGGTAGATTGCAATCTCGTACCAGCTCATACAGACATTTAGATATACAGACGAGCCACGCACAAGGTCCATACAGAATGATGGTAAGCCCAAATTTTTTAAAATTTAACTCAAATTTCTTCAGGTACCCAGCGCAATGTACCCTGTGGTCCATTCACGGAGATGTTGAAGCAATACGTTTTCGCCGACGGCGTCGTCACAACTGAGCTTACGCTGTAACGAAATGCGTGCGACAGGTTTGATCCTTTAAGGATTATTAGAGGAGCGCCAATCCATTAAAGATGTCAGTTGTCAGCCTCATACCGTTGGTGCGGATGGAAGTTCCCCCCCCATCACTAACAGGCCGAGCAGTGCTCGGCGAGCACCAACAGGGCCAAGCTGCGCGAACACATTCTTCAGAGGCCCCAGCGCATGGGTTGTTTTATTTGTTAAAGAGATGACCCTTACATGCCCTCACCGCCGTTCCGGAGTGCCGTATTTTGGCGTTGCTTAGGGGAACGGCGGGCTCAAAGCTGCTGCTCTAGCTGCTCTGCAAATAAACCTTCGTGGACTGGCTTCCTGATAAATCACACATTCTTTGAGCATCATTTTTTATACCGATGATCACACAAGTTGTCAATTATCTGACCTTTGTATGTTCTGCAGTTTGGTGTTCTGCTGCTGTCGAAGTCTATTTTTTAAGTACCCTTCAAATCTCGAGAATGGCATTCATAAGTTCACTATCCATTTTTTTATTAGCTAGTGCATTATCATAATGATCACAGGAGCCAGCAAACCGAAGTTATCGACGCCTATCGACGTGACGACAGGGATCCAGATTTGGCAACCGGTCCGGCGGCATCCTACGCATTCGCCCACTTCTGTGTGTGTGGTTGTTACAGTGGGCTCCAGACTCCCATTTCTGTTTGTTGCAAATGATCGCCTCACCACTTGCTTGCTTGCCTGCCATACACGACGGCATCGTCACCGAAACCGTATGTCTAGTTATGATATATAACGTGTAACTTTATGTCTCGTAAGATGATGAACGTGCGCTAGCTGTAAACTGTTGGGCCTTACGTGGCTTGGTGTATATTAAATGATTCGCTGAGTGTTTTGGCTCATAATAAATACGCATGCACGCGCGAGCATTTTCACTTCTCGTTATATAAGTGATAGTTTCATGCATGCTATCAACAGCATCAGACTTCGGTACCTAGCCACATTTAGTTGCCTATCGCCACATCCACGCGGGCCGGAACACATATCAACTAAAGCGCGATAATGTGCCTGCTGCACGTACGCATTGTAGCGAACTCTTCAAGCCAATAATCTTACATCTTATCGTCGCCCTTGGCTGGCCTTGGCAGTTTCATTCCACGGCATTATATACGTGCACGATCAAGTCTAAGATAAATGTGCGACTTTCGTGCGCGCCTGTTGCGCCTCACCACATGTGACGACCAAGTCATCCTTTACTACGGCGGCGTACGGCAACGGTTTCCAACGGCGGGGGATGTACCGATAATAATAAGGATTACACACAATTGCTTGATTACACAGTCCTTAAAGAGTTATTTGAACCACACCTGCAACGAGATCTGTTATGAGCCTGAACGCACTGCCCGCGCACAAGCTTAAGCTCGCTAGCTGGCTGGCTCTGGCTAAGCTTTCTTTAACAAAAATCGCTCGCAGGACTGCAGCATGGACGCTGAGTCAAGCTCACCACGCTATTCATATGCTGAACAGTATGCGGTAAATAGGAAGGGAAATGGCGTCAAAGCATGAAAGAGGCGTCGCTCGACACCAGGATATGTGCCCTTTACGTGCCGATATCGACACCTGAGCCCTGCGAAACCTAAAAGAATTACATGTCCCGGAATTAAATGGCCCAATGGTCTCAGGACACCGACTACTGTCACGGCTTGCAACATGGACGACCGACCCCCTGCGGCCAGCATCTCAGAAAGGTGATGCCACCAAAGTGAAGTCCTCTTCGGCGGCGTCCCAAATCCTGCTCGCATTACTGGCCCCTCTGCCTCCTCCCACACCTTTTGAATACGAGGAGCACGATAGCAGTGAACACGGAAGCGGTACCATCTACGAGTTCTTGGCAACCACCTAGCTTGCTCCCACTCGTAGGGGTAAAGTAAGGTGTAAAGCTAGGTGTAAAGCAAGGCCTTGCTTTACAGGCCCAGCACCAGAGCCACGGGCTTGTCCTACTTTACCTAACCAGTACGTGCCAAGGAGAGGGCATTATCAATACCTGCTGGAAGAGAAATAATGTGTGTGTGTGTGGTTGTTATAGTGGGCCCCAGAGTCCCGAAGAGTACAGCTGCATCAAGGAGCTGTTGCAGGGATTTACGTTCACATCATAGATTCTTACACAAGGCCAGCTTACAACTGCAGCACCTGGCAGTGAAAAGAGCCAGCTGGCACATCTGCTGACACATCTGCAGATGTGGCATGCTGCCGCACACAAGGCTGCAGGACTGTGCGAGCAACTTGCACATCGGGTGCGTCTAGAGCGTAAGAAAGAGTGCGCGTAGAGTATGCTATACAGATTTGGATGGAGAATCAAAGAACGAGCCGATCAAGTGCGACAGGCACGCGAACGGACTTCTGTCTTCGAGTGAATGGCTATTGCCCGTCAACGAGGCTCTCCGAAGCTTTTACGGATGCTCACCGTACTTGTGCGGGACATGTGCTTTGACACCTGGTAAGTTTACATTTGTTTGTTACCACAGTCCGCAGAGCAAATTCGACCATATTCACGCAACGAGTTGCGATAAGAGCTTGCATCGCATACCAGCTCCCACGCTTCAAGAACATCGCGGCATTAAAGAGTCGTTTGCTCCCCGCTGCTTTGATGCAGACCTGTACTTAGCATATTTAAGATTGATCTTCACATTATGACTGATCTTCACATAATACTATGTGGGCTTAGGATAGGAAGTTGCAAAAGTACGAAATGGCGTTGCTAATTAACCTCGCCCCTGCTTCTTCCGTGTCCGAAAGGCGGTATGTACAAAGTCCGCTTCTATTTGCGCTTCAGACGGGCGGGACTTGATGAAAAAGCAGATCAAATATTCTATAGAGGACAGAATGAATAATGTCCTCAAAATCCAGATATGGTTGTTATGCTACACAGTGTGGCTGTATCAGTCATGTATAAGCTTTTCCCTATGGCGACTAGAAGGGCGGACCCACGGTGTAGACCGGACAGCAGCTCCTGTCGGGGCCGAACATGTACAGGTAGCTGGTCGAGCCACAGCAGTTGACGGCCCGATGTTGCGGCGGGGCGGGGCGGAAGGACAGGACAGAAGCGGGCAGGAGAGCAAAGGGCTGGATTTAGATTCATCCGATGAGTTTAGAGTCTAAACTTTACTTGTAGCTATCATGCTTCGCCGCTCACCTAAGAGACAGCAAATATGCAACAGGCAGCAGCGGGCTGTACAGAACATGCTTCCTGTGGATAGGCGCTAGGTGGGGGCAAGCAAGGACCCGACGGTGTGAATTTCTAGCATCATGCCAACCAGCCGTACCTAGGTAGCCCTGAGGCCAAAACCCCGATGCAGTGGACGCACCCATCCACCTAAGACAACATCCCATGCGCCTGCACTTGCGCAATGCCCAACCAGACTGCTCGTGTGTTATGATCGAAAATGACCCCGCCAAGAGTTGCCGCCTACCAGGTGACAGTATCGCAAAGCTCCGCCATGGTAACGGGCTTTTGCACATTCAGGCACACCGTGCCATTCGCAGCTTGCGCCTTAGTCCAGTTGATGTTGGTGACTGCGAGAATGATGTGGCAAGTAATAAGTGCGACAGCAAGTGCCGTAAGGCAAGATGGTACATTTTCACCTAAGATGGTACCGCTTGGTCTTCATTATCTATCCTGCTCATTCTTTCTTTTTACGGTAATAAGTGCGACCAAGGCAAGCCCTGGCCAAGCCACAGTAAACTCCAACAAACCTGGCTGGCTAGCAAAAATATTGGCATACTGTTTATTAAGTATGGTGTTCAGCACAACGGTTTAGGTACATAACACTTGGCGTAATAGTACTTGGCGTAATGTGGCGTAATGTGGGGCAATTGCTGGACTAATTAAACCAGCCGCTGAAGTGGGGCGCGTGCAAGATGTGCCGGGTTCACACTCTTCCGCAGGGTCAGCGGTTTTCAGGGGATCCTTCCCCCCCCTCTACACAACCTTGCCACTGCCATAGATTGGACCACACAAGCTCGCCCCACCCAAACCGCGTGCCCATCCTGATTGCCCTATCTCACCCTTAAGCATGTTGCTGCCGGGGGCGTTCCATGAAGGCGCCCTGGTGCTCACTGTGCCGGTGCCCGGGGTGGGGATCAGCTCGAAAGACTTGACAAACCTGCTCAGGCTTTGGTCTGTGATGGGGGAATACGAGGGACGGGGACATATTCCCACAAACTCAGAAAACTACTACTACTACTAATACTTCTACTACTCGTTTACATTCCAATTATGCGTGTGTATTGAGTACTTTGAACGTACCCGACAATTTCACCGCTTTTCGTGCGTAACATAAATTTAGTGGTTTAGGGGTCCCGTACCTTCACAAGGTTTACTAAAATTGAAAAACAAATCCTACATAGAGACAGTGAGCTCCGTACAGCGACGAAAATGATGAGGATAACACACATGACGCAACGCTAGCTGCAAACGGACAAGAACGCCTTGGCGAATCTTAATAATACACCATCATAATTATTAAGTACTAAAATAATCGTTATATTACTAATCTTTATACTATTAATAATATTATTATTTTTATTCCTGGCCATCATTACTCTCGCACGTCCCGGACCATCACTTGAAGTCTGGCGATCACGACATCTGCTCGCCACTACGCACTCACCCGCATAGAACTCGATCTTTTGCAACGTATCGGTGGGGCTGCAGGGGCTCTAAGTACCCCATGAATAAGGAGATGGCATGGATTGGTACGACAACACAGAGAGCAGCCAGCAATAAGCAGGGGGGAAAAGGGCAAGAGGACATGACACGTGTGTTTTTGGGGTTTTAGTTACGACATATGCAGCAACCGGAAGATGCAATAATGGTGCTGCAGGCACACTGCTGAGTGGGGGGAAAGCAAGTCCTACAAAGCCAGCAAGTCCTTCTCTTATCTTCCATCGCCGCAAACCCCTTGCATAGATAGGACAACATATTAAAGGTACAAAATTGGTTTCGTACATGTCCGTACTGCGGTAGCCATAAAATTACTCAGGATGGATCGGGGGGGTTCCTTGTGTACGACACGCCCATGCACGGCTTACATCTTACCGGTGGGAGATCTTCAAAGACAATGGTCTTGAAACAGTACTTTGTCAAGCCAGGCAACGAAGTCTCTGCGTAGGCGCCGCTGGCGATAAACGGCAAAGAGCCCTTGCTCGTGTCGCACCTGTACATGGCCACGAACAACGTAATTGTTTGTCCTCCCGGCAGTGATGTTGTCGCTGCCATCAGCGACGGTGGAAGCAGCAGCTAGGTCCGATTCAACCACAACTCTGGTGACTTACCTATCCCTATCCCCGCCCCCTTACCCACTTCTTCCAGCAAGTTACGGCCACACTTTACGTGGGTGATGTTACCTAACGTGAGCATGCAAACTGCAGATCATGTACGTATACACGGCATATAAGCCTTTAACATGTATCGTTTGGCAGAGCATTGCCCCAGTCCCCTCTAATTGGAACTTGCCAAAAAATGGCCTTCTCCGCGGCGGGTTCCCTATTTCAAGGATCCACAGGATTATGCCGACCTAGCATTAGACCCACTATCTGTGTCCGTGCACAACGCGGGCTATTTCCCAACCTAGCTGTTACATAACGACCAAGTACCATAAGTACCAATCGGTGGATACAAAACCGGGACCAAGCCCAGGACACTACACTAGCCCATCCATACATCCTAACACTCTTAAACTCACGTGCAGTTCACAGGTGGAGATGGGGGCACAAAGCAACCTTGGGCAACGGACACGTCCATGCACAGCGGCGCGGCGGGGTCCACTCCCGGAGAGTCAAGGGTGGTGATCGTAAGCCCGTAGCCCTCCAGGACGGGGTGACATGGGCGGCCTCGGGCGGACTCCAAGAGGAACAATGGACCCAGCTCCAGGACCGCCTCTTCCAAGCTCTTGGCAGCATCTGCCGAGGCAAATGTGCCACAGACGCTCATCTGGAAAGGCTGACACAGCGAGGCGTTGGGCGTGAAAAGCGACACATGCGGTGTGTTGCTTTCCATGATCAGGCCGTTGATTTTGCTGGCGACGAATTCCTGGAATGTACGGCAGCTCTCGGCGTCAAAGCGAAATGGGCGATAGTCGATCAGAGGCGGGGTGAGGATGGCGTTGATGCAGACAGGGCAGGGTTCGGGGGTCAACGTTGCAGGCGGAGGCGGCGTGGGCGCCCCAACGACGTCGATGGGGCAGCAGTCGAACTCGGAGTCCCACAGGGCAGTCTCGCAGGTGCCGGGAGCACCGCCGGCCGGTGGCTTGCAGAGCTGCTCCAGGGAGAGGCAGCCCCTGCCGGCGGAGTTGGTGCCTAGAGTCACACAGATTTGAGCGCCATCGGCATCGGCCATGTTGAGACCTAGATTAGTGATGCGCAGGATGACGCCAGCCGGCTCGTTGGGAGCCCGGTCAAGCGTGGGTGCTGTGGGGGTTGGCTTGCCGTTGAGGGTGGCACTCAGCTTGGCGCCGGAAACCTTGCATTCTGAATTGACGTTTAGCTGCAGCGGAAGGGGAGGTGAGGGTCGGTGGCAGGAGGTGTTTGGGGGGACGCCATATATGTGTTTAGTAGAGGACGAAACAATAAGGCCCAAGGACAAGAAAAGGAAGTTATTCAATAGGCGGGAGAGCCCGTCCTTGGGACACGCCCCAAGGCGATTAAGCAGCCTGAGATGTTGAAAAGGCGACAGTGAGCGCGTGTTGGTCCCGTGAATAAGGCAGGGAGAAGGAAACTATGAAAGTGAAATCGGAGGAGGAAAAGGGATGGTGAATACACTTTTGGTGCGAGACTGTCCTGCTAAAGAAGGGCTTCTTGTTGCCAGTGGACCGGACAGGACTGGCAGCTTCCATATGAGGTAGATTGACAGGGAGTCAATCAGATCACGCACAAGACTTATTCAGTCTTATGGTCTGCTTATGTGCGTACTACGTACCTCAAATTTCTTCAGGTCCGCCGAGCAGCAATACCCAGCGCAACCGGGTGGTATATTCACGGAGATGTTGAAGCAATACGTATTCGCCGACGGCGTCGTTACAACTGAGCTTACGCTGTAAGCTGCAGGCTCCTGCTGGCATGTTGTATAAGGAAAAGGCAGAGAGGCTGCCCGGTGACTTGCGAGCCTGCGAGCATGAAGGCGCACGATGTTGGTTAGCGTAGAAACTTTCGACATGCGCGATAATCCCGTGCGCCTTTAAGCTCAGTGGTTGCATATGGATAGCAAGCCATTTGATAGTGTTTGGACAGCCATCATCCATTGGAGCTATATCGGCTTGATGAGGCGGACGACATCGCGACAGCTTCTCAGTAGTCGGTACCCTCCAACTTACAAGCCGAGCGCGAGAGCCACAACGACGAAATTATTAGGTTTCATAATTATCAGGGACATCAATAACGGTTACGTTAAAATTGGACCAGGAGGCGATATTATATGCTCTTGCTATGGTACCGGAATGCCGTACCGAGAACTTGCCAAGGAGAAACGATCGGCGGGCTCCGAAAATCTCCGCAGACGGATTAAAGTTACGTCTTAAATTTGAAAAAGGATTTGAAGCCGACAACTATGAATGCTGCTACAGTTATCGCTGGTCCTTGGCGGTCAAGAAAGTATCTCCCTCGAGGCTCAAGAACTCATTCGTTAGGTTGATTACGACGTTCAATATCAATTAGTCCTAACCTGCTGTTACTATTGAAGCCAACTGCCAAGCATCCAGTTTTGGCAATCGACAACTTAAATACGGTAGAATACGCAGCATTTACCCGTGAAATTCTGTTGCAAATTTTTGTCCTAGCCTCGCTTGCCATCATAAAGAGCCCATGACAGCATCACCAAAGCCGTGCGTGCAGCACGCGGCGGTATGTAGCCATGCATCCATACTCCACGTTGATTCATGTTCACTTAGCTCAGGTTGAGTACTTTTGTGTTGTTATTGACAATTCACGGCGTAGCTTGGCGCACCTACGATTCACGTGCGTTAATCAATTCAACCGGCACGTTGCACGGTCTTGTACGAGCACAATAAACATTGTATATTTACATCTAGGTAGTTCAGGCAGATTGTAGATTGACATGAGGCAATTGAACTTGAATCGGGACGGCTTCAAACCAAATAGCGAAGTGGAGTCGATGCTACAGATAAAGCCAACTCTAAAACCGCCTTCAGTTCAGTGTTTATAATGTCATATCCTTGTAAGGGTAGTATTTGCGTATTTGCAGATAGCACGTGCACGAGTGTACGTGCTTATCGGTCGATACCAGTGTCATCGAAGTCAGGACAGACTTTCACTCGCAACAAAAGAAACATAGAATTATAATCCTTTTAAGACAATCCGACCGTCCTTGCGTGGATGGAGGATGTCGACTTGGCTTTGCTGCAAACCGCTTGCGAGTTGCAAAACCGTCTGGCGTTGGATTCGCCCCAGGCTTCGCTGTCCACGGGACGATATCGAGAGCGTAACGTGCCCCATTTCGCAGCCGCTGAACCATGTCGTGCAGGATGTCGCTCAGTCGGTCCTCATCCACCAGCTTCTTGGGAACCCTCGCCAAAACCTTGTCTTCATGGAACGCTGCGCTGTCGTTGCCAATCTCATGTCGTCCGGAGAATCCCGCTGCGGCGCTGCTGCTGATCCGTTCCTCCATCACCTTGAGCCTGCTGTCGAGACCAGACACGCTGGTTTCCAGGCCAGCGACTCTGGAGTTCAGCCCATCCATGAGGCTAATTTTCTGATAGATGAATTTTATCATAGCTGCTTGATCCATTTCCTCGTTGGCCATGGTATCGTCCTTCGCCGGTGAATGCATGGTGGTTCTCTGCCCGTCGCTGCCCTCGCTACTGTCCTCCTGTAACGTGGTAAGTGACCTTATAGAAGTGTTCTCGTTCTGTTTGGCTAGCTTATGTACTCGATCTGCGAGTTCCTTCACCGATTTTGGCGGGGTCTGCTGATGCATCCCCTTCTTCTTGGCCATATGCCCGCGAAGAATTTCCTGGACAGACTAATATCTTCCAGGCATGCATAACAAAAAACAAACGGAAATCGTCGCTCTGCTCCCATATCGTCAGCTGACAGTCGGCAGCTAGAGTGCCTGACCTGATTTAGGCGTTCACCTGGAAGATATTAGTCTGTCCAGGAAATTCTTCGTGGGCATATGGCCAAGAAGAAGGGGATGCATCAGCAGACCCCGCCAAAATCGGTGAAGGAACTCGCAGATCGAGTACATAAGCTAGCCAAACAGAACGAGAACACTCCTATCAGGTCACTTACCACGTTACAGGAGGACAGTAACGAGGGCAGCGACGGGCAGAGAACCACCATGCCCTCACCGGCGAAGGACGATACCATGGCCAACGAGGAAATGGATGATGCAGCTATGATAAAATTCATCTATCAGAAAATTAGCCTCATGGATGGGCTGAACTCCAGAGTCGCTGGCCTGGAAACCAGCGTGTCTGGTCTCGACAACAGGCTCAAGGTGATGGAGGAACGGATCAGCAGCAGCACCGCAGCGGGATTCTCCGGACGACATGAGATTGGCAACGACAGCGCAGCGTTCCATGAAGACAAGGTTTTGGCGAGGGTTCCCAAGAAGCTGGTGGGTGAGGACCGACTGAGCGACATCTTGCACGACATGGTTCAGCGGCTGCGAAATGGGGCACGTTACGCTCTCGATATCGTCCCGTGGACAGCGAAGCCTGGGGCGAATGGCGGTACTGCTGCGGGGGGTGCACGCCCCACGGCAACGGCCATGGTGAGCCAACCGTCCTAGTCGACATTCTGCTGAACCCGCAAGTGGGGAAGTCATTCGTCACCCTAGGAAAGATCGCGCATGAACAGCACGGCATCATCCTCATGGACGTGCTCACAAAGACGGGCAAACAGCTGCGCCAGCAACGCATGGCAATGTTCACCCACCTGCATGACATCAAGAAGGTGCAGCCGAGGTGGGAACGTGGTGTGGACATCACGGTCATGGATGGACAACGCAGGGTCCCCTTTGAGGGACCCTGGGTGGATGCGCAACCCAGCGGAGGTGGTGGTTCTGCTGGCACGGCACCACACGGTGACCGCCCCTAGGGGGCCGCGAGCCAAGAGACTCGTAAGTTGAGATTTCTTCAGTGGAACGTGGGAGGGCTGACTGACTGGAAACTTGATTGTGATGAGTTTCGGATGATGACTGATGGGTATGACGTAGTAGTCATTATGGAAACGCATAAAGTGGGAGAGGGTTGCATTAAGGGAGTTGTTCCTCTGGGAGCTCGGGTTTTCTCTGCTGGGGGAGACGGCAATCGTGGGGGTGTCTGTGTGCAGGTTAGCATAAGATATGCCAAGGCGGCCCAGCTGGTTGGCACATCCACAGCACCGCAAGGTATGGATAGTATCTGGATACGGATCAAAGGCCTGAACATGCGTGGGAATGGGTTACTAGTGGGGGCCACTTACGCGGCACCTGAAGGGTCAGCAGCAGAGGAGCGTTGTGTAAGCTGGGCGCGTGGCGGCAACCGCTCCAACTCCCAACGAACTCCTGAAATGATCGGATCCACAACCGTTCTGTACCCAACTGTGAACAGATGACAGGGAAGCTGTGCTGGCAGTTGGCACGGCATGCGACTGGGAGCAGGGTAGCTGCGCAGGGGGGCTGAGGGGTGAGCTGGCGGTTGGCACGGCACGCGACTGGGAGCGGGTAGTTGCGCAGGCGGCCGACTGGAAGCACGTTTGATATTCACGAGCGTTGATATAAATGGGGAGCTGCAAAGCTGGCTGTTGGCGTGCGGTGCGGCTGGGAGCTCATAGTTGCGCATAGCGCTGGTTGGGAAGCTGCGTGTGAGCTGCGTGTGAATTCAGATGGGATGCATGGGGCTGCGCCGTTCCATCAGTTGCATCTGGGTTGCACACGGGTTACACACGCGACTGCGGTTTGCCGGCGTGGTGGGGGTGGCGGCAGCCGACCCCTGTCGTGCCGAGGGGGTAAGTGGAGCTTCGTGTGAGCTGTGATGGGATGTGATCTGACCAGGTGAGGACATGGCCGCGTGCGGTGCTGTAGCAGCTGGCCGCTGAAAAGGCCTCTCGAGATGCTGGTGGTCGCGCTCTGCGCGTATTTATAGCACCGTACTGTGTACCGGCTGCTACATTCCCCCCCCTTTGAAGGGAACCGTCCCGGGCCCTTAGACCTCGTTTTCACCACCAGCCTGTGCCTACCTTCGCCTACCCTCGGGCAGTGGGGTGTTCAAGCCCACGTCACGTCATGGTCCTCTTCATGCGCCTAGCCTTAAGGTTTTTCAGGCACAGAGGCAGTCCAGTCGGTTCAGCTACTTCTTATAGTTTGTGCGATATTCGCTCACTGAGTCGCCACACCCGTATACCACTCGAACGTGACCGGTGGGGGTTGAATCGACGACTTCAGGATAGTGAACTTTCACGAGGTCTCGATACCAAATGTAGCAGCTGGCCGCTGAAAAGGCCTCTCGAGATGCTGGTGGTCGCGCTCTGCGCGTATTTATAGCACCGTACTGTGTACCGGCTGCTACAGGTGCACTGCGTGCCCCCCGCCGCGTGGGGACTCAAACTACTCAAACGGGGCTGCACTGAAACTGGTGCGGCGGGGGCGACGGCGCGCTGTGTGGTGAAAGGAGTGAGGCACAGAAACTCAACGGAAACTCAGCCAAAACTCAGCGGAAACTCATAAGAAGTAGTAGGAGCTCTGTGGCAGCACGTCCATGCCCGCCTTGAATGCTGTTAACGAAATGTGTTCGCGGTGTTGGGCGTGTCAGCCAGATTGCACCCAACCCAGGTTCTCTCTGCCACCGGGACAACGACATATTACCCTTGCCTGTCACTCACACCCAACCCAGGTTGCGACAGTCGGAGGCGTGAGGATCACCTGGCGCAGGTAGAAATTGCCAAGCCCAAAGTTGAAAGCCCCGTCGGCTAACGTAGTGATGCGGATCTTGGCAGGAAGGGTCCGCGACTGCGAGACGGCAACCAGCTGGTTCGTGTAATACGGTAGTCAAGCCGATCCAGATCCAGCTGCATGCCCGTTGCGTCAGCCCCGTACACAAAGCAGCCAAGCACTGCAATATTCTGACCTGTTGCCATGCTTGCATGCGTGCGTGTCGAGTGTTGAGAATTTATGTTACGCCCTTCCTGAATTTACGGTAGGCATCGGGGCTCAGGTCCTCCTGCAGCTGCTTCGCAGGCAGCCAGAGCTAGCAAGGCTTCCTGCTGCATTGAGGGTGGTCTGGCAATCTGGCATTCCTTACACAGGCTGTTTCAGAGCCGCTCAGCCTCTGGAGGGATCTGCACAGGCCTCTGAAGGGCTCTGGAGGGGTCGGAGGGCTCTGGAGGGGTCTGAGCGCTCTGGAGGGCTCTGGAGGGAGGTAACACGCATGCTTGGCGGGCCAGTACCCGGCCGGCCCGCTATTGAGTTGCAAAGGCCGTGGCAACCCATGCCATGCCGAAAGCCAGTCGAGGTGGGTACTACGGATTCAATGGATTCCAGACGTTGCATGTTTGGCATGCCGGCAGGCCCGTGGTGACTGCTTGCGGTTGTAGCCTCTAGCAGTACATGCACTTCCCAACCACCTCAGCGGCCACCTCAGCCGCCGCCCCTCCCGCCACAGCCCCTCCCGTAGGTTCGAGGACAGCTCCGACTACCGCCCACTATCTCGTGTACGGCACCGAAACCCCCTCAGCCATACAGGATTTGGCTTGGGAGTTGGCAGCTGCACGAGTGTGAGCACTCGGAAGTTACCTGACTGCAGTGGTGCACACGGGCAGTTGGTGCTAGTCGCACACTAGCAATCATGTCTTTGAGTCGGCAGGCGCGCGAGTGGGAATGAGCAGCTGAGCGTGCACGTGTGTGGGAAGCTGCGGCAGGGCACGGTGGAGTTAACGAAGTGCTCTAAAGTCAAACAAATGCGGAACGGAGACCAGGCCCGTAGTGTAGAGCATGCAGGCGGCAGCGAAAGGTGGAGCACGGCGGAGGTGGGTGGTTGGTGCCGCGGGTGATTGGGAGTGCATAGTGGCACGCGTACCATTTGGAAAGCCGCACGTGTGAGCTGCGTGTAAATAGAGCGCAACTGCGTGCGTGTGAACTGTTGTCGTTATGAGGCCCCACAGGACGAGGCACGTTTGCTGACTCGGATGCGACAGAGCCCTGCTGTGCCCTTCAGAGGCCTTCAGAGGCGTTCAGAGGCCTGTGCAGATCCTTCCAGAGGCCGAGCGCCTCTGGAACAGCCTGTGTCAGGATTGCCAGACCACCCTAAAAGCAGCAGGAAGTCGCTTTTGGGCTGAGCCCCCTGAGCGAAGCGATTCAGGGGGGGCGAGACCCCCCAAGACCACCCCTGTCCGTGCCTGCCTGTGTCTGGTGTGCCTTTGTCTGGCAGGAAACCAAAACTAGCGCAGACCGCGAATACCACCTTATAATACGTAACATTCTCTATACAACGGTATAGCTCGGTGGCGCTAGAAAAATCGGAGCGAGGAGCGTCAATGGACAATTTGACTTTCGCCGGCCCGCGAGCAAAGCGCCCGGGCTCTGTAATTATGACATCTAGACTAAACGGTGTCGACTACAAGAAGCCCGGGGCGAGAATACCGAAGTTTGTGCAATAGCCTGTTACGCATGTGCATCCCGCCTAAATGTCACTGGGTCCGCGGTCCCACCTCGGAGCCCGCAGTGTCGCTTATGGTGCTTGCAAGATATCGTGGCAGTTACCGATGCAATTAGGGATATGCCAACATTGAGTCCGTGGTATAGCGTGGGGCACGGGCGTGGGTGCGGAGAGGCACGGTGACACGCATGCACGCACGTGTGCGGTGACAGCAACAGTAGCGGTAACGTCTTTGTCCAGCCATGTCCAGCCTTGCACCATTACACCTCCAGCCCATTTATCTCTGTACTTGCTATTACCGTAATGCTTTCCAGCTTGTGGGTCTGGGTGTCTCTTGCCCCTGAGGGAATTTGCTATGCCGCATGCACTTTCTCACGCACGCACGCACGCACCACGTCAGAGGCATGGACAGGACCGGGGACACGGGGCCCATGCCATGACAATAACACAGTGAAGAGGGGAATACTGTGGAATGTGTTAAGATGGGGAGGGGCCGACTGGCACGCGGACTAATCCTGTGACTGGGCCACCAGCCTTTGGTGTGTGTGCAATTGTGGCGTCTTCACCGGGAGCAGCGAGTAATGCCGTCCATGTCTAAAAACAGCTCCCTAGCTCTGTACGGGCTCAGCCCATTTTCCCAGCTGTTACAAAGCTGACACCCCCTTGTTTGGCTGGAAGCCGCTTTCTAACTCTGCGAAGCAGCTGCACGATGACCTGAGCCCCGACGCTTATTGCGACAAGGTGATGAATTAAATGAGCGCGGAGAGGCTTACCCACAACGTTCACACCCCCAACGTTCACAGTCTGCTGGCAGCCCCTGTGCCCCGACCTCTGTCAACTATCCTTTGCCTGTCTAACGTATCCAGAGCATGCGCCGGGCCTTGGGGTTGGGCCGATTTAGCTTTCCCTGGGGGTTCGCATGCACCATTTTTTCCCTCAACGTTCACAGTCCCAACTTAGCCCCTGCGCACAGCTATCGGGGTGATTGCTGCTGGAGCTGTCGCCGTCTGCACCGACGATTGCTAGGGGTGCTGCTATGCAAGGGGGCAAGCCTCCTCTGCACCCCCCTTGCCTGGCGGAGGGACCCTTACCCTGCGCCCCCTTCCCAATCTCCCATTTTTTGTGAAGTCGCGGCGACGCCCATCCTCCCCTTGCCCATTGGCTACACACGCAGCCAGGTCGCGGTCCAGGGCAAGCGGTGCGATGTCGGGACGAAGGGAGGGGGGAGGTGCAGGGGGGAGGGTTGGCTCGCCCCCCTTAGGGGGCGATAGCCTTAGCGGTCGACCAACATACCCTCCGGTTACGACGAAAGTTATTTTTTTCTCCCAAACGGCAGAGGTTTCTCCCACCCTGGCTAAATCCATTCAATTCTTGATAGCGGTATCTTTTACGGTGATTAGCAGTTACCAGTTTGGTGCGAGGAGGTGCGACTTAAGGCGAGTAACATCCGCGGGCAGGAAATGACCGCGCCCGTAATATTTTCCATGTGTAAATGGTGTTAATATGTGGCCTCAAATTATTTTTAGGGGCTTGGGAAGATGATCTTGCGATCTGGCCGATCAAAAGAAGCCCACGCAAGGCTTGCCCGATTATTTATCTGCAGGCTTATTGTTATGATGCTAAGCTTCAGCCAAAGCCAAAGCTAACTGCTCGAGTTGAAGCTCAGGAGCAATGCAACGATCGTGCTGCTGCTTAAACTGTGCCTGGAAGATCATTTATTTATCTTGATAGTAGCCATACTAGCCATATAGCCTATGGGTGCCCTAGTGACCTAGTGAAGAAGCCACGCTGCTCGCGGAACCCCCACCGCTCCTGCCTCTTCTCCTCCGCGCATACCCTTCCCGAGTCGTTGCAGCATGCCAATCTGGGGCCTACGCAACACACACCACGCCTCAAAAATGGGGCGAGCCCTTCGCGCTGCGTAGCTGGGAGGTTTCTGTCCCCTCAGACACATTTAGCAGCCGAAGCAGCCAAACAGCGATGGGGGCGATAACAAATCCTTTTCGCCAATTTGTTTTCGCCTGTAATTCGTCTCACGCGGTCAGCTTGTCATAATTGACGAAATTCCAGGCGGACATGCGGCAATGTTGCCCCACAACCCCAGGAAGTGTCATGTTTTGAGGCATTACAATGCCCTTTGGCATACTTAACACCACATTGGCTATGTAGCATAGTCTTTGCGAACTATCGGGCCTCCCAGGTGCCTGGGGACACCCAACAAGGACATGCCGGCACCAATTTCTTGACGTCAACGGCCAGAAGTAGCTCCAATTGGCGCGCGGTTACTCAAGGGGACATAAAATGTTGTTAGGGTGTGTTGGAAGCTCAGTAACACTTTGCTCACAAGAAGGGACATTGACACGCGAAAACTGACGCGCGAAATTCCAGCCCCCACGAATTTTTATCTTCGTCAAACAAGGAGGCGAAATTCCCAAAAAATTTTGCCCACCTTTGGCGGGCTCACCAATTTGTCCCCATCCCTGAGCAGCCGAAATGTAACAAAGCAAAGGGGTAACCCGGGATGCTCAGTTGGGCCTTGCGTCGTTACATTGCCCCCCCCTTAGCAATGGACGTCCTCGCCATTATATCGAGCATTGGAGCCATCCCACCTCACGCATTGTGCGCTGGTTTATCCATTACACCATGATATCGCATTCTGCGATACCTGCTTGCTTCAGAATCGAACCGCCGACCCGAAGAATACATCGGAAGTCATGCGGGCCCGTCTCGATACCATTGTAACAAAGCAAAGGGGTAACCCGGGATGCTCAGTTGGGCCTTGCGTCGTTACACGAAATCCAAGCTCATAATGTGAACTCGTTGCTGCCTATATACCTTTCCAAAATTATACCTCTACTGTACCTTATGGCTCCAGCAGCTGGCTAAACTCCCGTATGCGTTCTGCGTTAGGCCTGTCGCGATGTTTCAAGAAACTTTCAACACCTCTCGACTCCCTTCCGACGACTTCTCCATCAATAGCCTGGAATAGAGACCTCGTGCGTTGGTTTTTGACCTCCAACGCGGAGAGTCATGGCGTCCCCGATCCCTGAGCGAAAAGCGGCCTCAGAGCGGGTCGTCGAGCTTTATATCGACAGCGGCGCAGCCTTCGTCGATCTCCTGCATGCCCTGAGGACCATGCCGGACTCAGAGCTCCAAGTAAGAGTGCGACTTCATGCTTCACTGCCTGCTATGGGCCTAAAGTCGCCTCGGTCGCCCTGGCCCGAATCCAGATCAACGAATCTTCATTGTCTGCTGTATAGGTCCTCTGGACTGTTTGGGAGCCGTTGGCGGCACGGAACGCTCAGGAGTCTGAAAAGGCTTTCGTTGAGTGGAGTCTCCGGAGTAAGTTCGACGACTACAGCGCAAGCGTCGCATATAATGGGCTCGTTGCGCGGTTTACCCTGCACGGCTCCTTGCGCCCAGCAACACCGCACTAACCTCCGCTTCTCCACGTGCTCCCGACCGCTCCACGTGCAGCTTCGGCGGCTAGCCCCGGCATGGGGACCGCGGTTGGAGCTGGTGAGTTGGTTATGCTAGCCCAATAGTACGTGGCCTAAGCGGGCCGCGGTGAGCTAAGAAGTCTTTCGGCTCTAGTGTCCCGCGTGTAGTACGTGCATGTTTTGAGCTATCTTTAAGAGCGCAGCACAGCACGCTGGCCATCACGGGGATATCCTCTGCCGTTATGGGCACATCTACGCGATCAATTGCCTGACCGCCGTTCCGACCTTTGGCCAGTGCCGCCACTCTTGTGCACGACGAATTGAATGAGGCCCAACAAACCACGCTAACACGTGACGCGCGGGATAATGGATACCGGTGTGCTCTTGCGGCCCGTCAGAAGCCAGCGTCAGCAATGTAAGGGTCCTGCGCTCGTGTGGGTTGTTGACAGCCCCCAACCCCCTTGCTGCTGAACCCAATCACCCCCTTCTTCGTGCACCCTGCCCCGCCCCTGTTGCGCACCAGATGTGGAGCGCCTGCGCGACCAGCAGGGTGAGCCTGGGTGGGCGTTGGTTTTGCCCTCCCCTGCACCAACAATCAGAACTCACATGCGCACACACACACACACACACCGTCTGTGAGCTCAAGCAGCAGCACCAGCTGGAACATCTAGGGCGGACTTGGGGCAGGGGCAGGGGCTGGGTTGCGGAGATGGGCATGGGCGTCGGTCCAAACCATGTGCAAATCGGGTCTTGAGCATCTGCAGATGCCGCTGTTTAACTGGAAAACTACAGTATAGCATCTGTCGGAACGTAGCACCTGATAAGACCTGCGCTTGCCTCGCGGAAAACAACGCACGAGTGGCGACCCGACACTGTCTCCCTTGCCTACGCCTCTCACCGCTCCCCTACCATGAATGTGTGCGCAGCGGCATCACCCACGTCGTCCGGCCCACGTAAGTCCGCCACATGGTGGCCCGCCTGCTGGTTTCAGTCCGTGGCACCGCTGTGGCAAGTGCGGCGAGGAAGAGACGAGGGTGACCCGCAGCAGCAGGGGCAGCAGGAGCAGGATGACACGGCCGCTGCATCCTGCACACCTGCTAGTGCAGGCCCGCACTCAGCGTTAGTGACCGACACGTGCACTATCACCCCAACAGATAGCTCGTGCAGCAGCTCGCCTCCCCCCTCCCAGCACCTGTCTACATGTCGTCAGCGCCGCTCACATCGTGCCGGTCCCCAACAGGAGTCGGCACCGTAGGGTACGCGGGAACTGTGCTGCTGCTGTTGCTATTGAAAATCATGTATGTGAAGCAGTGCAGCACCGCGGAGACGGGGTGTTCCTGGTGGCTGGCGGGCAGCGTGGAGCAAGGTGCGTCGCTGCTCATCCAGGTCCTGCACGCCATCGGCGTGTTGACACAGCTGGGCGCGCACCAGCTGGTCGACCACACCGCCGGGTGGCTGCAGCTGCACGCGCTAGTCGCCGCCCTCGACGCCGGTCTGCAGCGGGTCCCGTTCCTGCCGGCTGGGGTGGGGCGCATCGTGGTGGAGTGCGCTGCCGCCGTAGCCGCCATGGCCGTGCACTGCATGTCGCTGGCCGGGTTTGGCATGGTTGCAGACTTGGCCTCGCGTGTCTCTTGGGTGCGACGTGGCTGAGGGGCGTGGCTGAGGGGCTGAGGGGCGTGGCTGGTTGGGCAAGGTGCGCACGCAGCACACATGCAGCGCGGTGGCGCACCAGATGGCTGTACATAATCATTCTGGCCCCACGAGAATTGGAATGGGGCACGAGCCGTGTTCATATGCATTCAGAGTGGAGCATACTTGCGAGTGGCCGTAGTGTTTTTTTTCCTGAACTCGGCGGAGGTCCGCAGGCGTGGCATAATTATGCGCAAGGACTCTTGTCGCGCATGTTTTAGACCACGTGTCGCGCACCTGCGCGTGGAGGTAGGACCGATGCGACTTGACAAACAATGCCTCTCCATGGTGTTGGGCGTGTGTGCATGCATGTGTGAATGTGTGTGTGTGTATTGCACCCACAACCTGTACAGTCAAGTAGCTGGCTCCCAACGGCATCTGTGCGTGCCAGCGGAGACATGCAGGGGTAGAGGGGAGAGAGCGCGGAGCTGCCCAACAAGCGGCGCCGACGCGCAGGCTGATTGGCTGGCAGGTATTCAGATCGCTGTCTGCGGGCGAGCAGAGCATGTGGTATGCTGCGGCCTGGGAAGCGCGGCAGTGTTATCTGTGCTGTTGCGCTTTGTTTATGCGGCTGGAGCGACTAGGTCACCCTAGTGGTTGGCTGTGCTGTGCGTGCACAAACCGGCCCTGGCTATGTCGGGGAGATTAGGTTGTTTCCGATGACCAACCGGTAGACGTTGTGTGGGCTCAGGCGCGTTTTTGTTTCTGTGCATCACATGGGACCACCTCTGTTTTTCTTGTTCCGATAACACGAAAACTGCTCGGTTGGTGGGCTACGTCGCAACGACTGGTGGCGGTACCGGTGCAGGGCGGAGATGAACTTCATGCCTCTGGACAACGGGCGCTCTTCTCATTGGTCACCAAGCTTAGGCGACAGGGCCTGTTTGTGCCAGCTGTTGCTGTCAAAGCCTTCGACGCACAAGTGCGTACGATCCATCCTGTCTTACGGGGTACAGGTCTGGGGCCCGATGAGGGTCCTACAGGTCCTGGAACGAGGCTTCCCTAGAGGTCAAGAACACCGGTCATGTTATTTTGATTATGCGCTGGAGGATAAGAGTGTTGGTCTGCAGAAATCCTTCCTGAAGCAGTTGGCTGGGGCGGGGGTGCCTCCCAACCGGCTACTGTTCAAGGAACCGGGGCAGTACCCATTACAAGTACACTGGGCGAACCTAATCTTCCGTTTTTGGGACCGACTGGTATAAGCTAAAGGCTCGGTGTATCATCATTGTTTTTGGGAAGAGCTTCGTTTGGCCTTTGCTTCTTCCTTATGTCACGATGGCTGGGGATCGAAGGTTGTCAGGATACTAGAAATTTTAGGGTACGACATGGGGTTTGAGGGTGGTGCGGATGAAGGGATTGAGGCTAGGGTAGATATTGCTGCGTCACATGTTCTAGATATTGACCAGCTATTGCAGGAACTCCGAGATCGATTTGATGACGACTGGGGTAGTGAAAGGCTGGCGATTTACCCACATATGTTTGTCTCTGACGACAAGCAACCAGGGGTGAAGATGTGTCGTTATTTGCAGTGGATGGGGCAACCTAAGCACTGTGAAGGCTACATCTTACCTAAACATCACGTCACTTTGATGCGTTTTAGGATGTGTGTCTGGCCTTTGGCTGTCAACTGACCCCATGGTAGGGAACGAGCCGCAAGGTGGTGTCGGGTATGCAATAATCGGCAGGCAGTGGAGGACGAACGGCACGTGCTACTAGAGTGTCCGGAATATGCAGATATCCGTGCTAAGCTCTGGACCCTAGGCACTGCTCCGGGAGATGTTATGAATGCAGTGATGGGTGTCGAGAATCAACGCGGGTTGGCACATGTCTTGGATTGCATACGGAGACGTAGGTTGCAGTACATAGACGACTAATGAGGACCACAGTACAGTGTTATGATTTGTTGCCTTTTTTCTTTTTATCCTTTTCAGTTATTGTTTCCAGCTCGGCGGCTCATGAGCCTCTTGGCTCGTCTGGGCCGTACAAGCTCAAGAAGCTTGTAATCAAATAACGTCAAAAACGTCAAACGTTGGATTCCAAACTTTTCTGAGCTATGTCAGACCCGTCGGACTACATGTTAATGCACCCATGTGGATACCGCTACCTCTAGCCACGTTAATCCTGGCCGTGATGTACTTGCAATTGAGCCATACCTGCATGGAGCGTACTAGAAACGCCGGATGCGGCCCGGTGCTGTCTTTTGACCTGTTTCAAGATCTAAGTCCTCAAGATTTAAACTGTTTGTGTCGAAGAAGAGGCGCAATTATTGGCGCAACTATTTGTTCTGTGTCTCACCCGGACAGGAACGAGCCACAAACCAACTGACAGGGTGTGGGCTTCGTCGAAGCCGGCCGGCTTCCGTGGAAAAAGGGCGGGGCCCCCCTGCATCCGTACAGGCCGGTAGCTAAGGCGGCACGTGTGACAATTGATGGGTAGTGTCAACGAGGTGGGAGCTGTGCTTGTTGCAGCAGTGCTGATGCTGTGGGAGATATGCTTTCGCCCCACAGCCGCAAGCTTCATCACGGCACACTGCAACTCTTCGGAGGCCCCGAGCATTGGCCAAAGTAATTGTACAAACGAGCAGCTTGCGTACTTCATAGAGGAATGAAAGCAAATTTGTCGGCCTGCTGGTGGCAAGTCGGAATGCCCGTGCGGGCAAATGGTAAACACAAGCTGGGTGTTCGAGTTATCATACACCGTCATTTCAGGATTCAGTTATGAAATACGTGGCACCCTTTGAGATTAAATTTAGGCCGAGAGGCGTTGATGTGACTTTGGGCTGGGTCAATGTAGGCAGCCAAAGTTGTTTGTGCTCCTACGATTCTTGTTGGCTACAGACGAGATACCTTGCAATAGAGAATGCATTTATATAACCAATAACGCGTTTCAGCCGGGCGAGATATTACATTGGTCGGTCACACATACACACACATACAGGTAGACAGACAGACAGAGACAGACAGACAGGCAAACAGACAGACAGAGACAGACAGACAGACAGACAGACAGACGTGGGCAATCCTACAGGGTAGGGGCCCCCTGGGCGCTTCACGCTGGGGCCCCGCCCAAAAGAAAGAGAGAGAGAGAGAGAGAGAGAGAGAGAGAGAGAGAGAGAGAGAGAGAGAGAGAGAGAGAGAGAGAGAGAGAGAAAGAGAGAGAGAGAGAGAGAGAGAGGGAGAGAGAGGGAGAGAGCAAAGGTTATTTAAGTGTTACAACCCCCGGTGTTGTAGACTTCAGTCGACACAACCACATAATGGGGGCATCGAAAGATACCGATTGAGACAAGTGTCTTGAATAAATAGTCATCAGTGACTCCACTTGGGCCTCGCGCCGATAAGAATCCCCAGTACGACTGGGCGGCGCGGTATCCAGAAGCCATAGTTCGCAGGAACTACTCTCGCTCGGTCAGACGAAACTGGGACGCAGGTCCCAGCTTTACGTAGGTAAAAACCCCGCCCATACGCAGGTATGGACTTCCGCAGCGGTGCGGCATTAAGGTGGCGGACGACTAACAGTAGTCGCTTTAGCCGCCTGCAGCTAACAGTAGCCCAAACGCGCCCATATGCAGATATGGACTTCCTCAGCAGTGCGGCACTCGAATGGCGGACGACTAGCAGTAGTCGCTTTAGCCGCCGCAGCTAACAGTAGCCGCAAGTAAACTAATAGCAGTATTAGTTAAAAACCAGTAATCACCGACAGTGGAATTGATGGGTGTTAGTAACATTGAAGTTCGATAAATCGAACTGGATGAGATAACCACCGACAGTTAGGATTCGGAGCCCAAACCGTTGCAGAAAACCTTTACAGGATACAACACCCGGTCGTCGTCGGCTGCTCACCTGCGCAGCTGTTGTGTCGTTCTAAGTTGTTCATGACAGTGCCCCAAGAGAGCTGTGAACAGGTTATTTATCTGACAGAAGCCGCAAAACACTCCCCTCCAATATTTTTCCACTGCCCGGTCAGCAAGCGGAGGTTGCGCCCGAGGAAATGTGTGTGTATGTATGTCTGTGTGTGTGCGTGCGTGCATGTGTGTGCGCGTGTGCGTGTGTGCGCGCGTGTCTGTGTGTGTGTATGTGCTATGTGCTATGGATTTTATGGATTTTATGTATGCGTGTACTGCTGTATTTTCCAGGCCAGATATCTCTTGTAATTCGTTGTGATGTGATTAGGAGATCGCTGGAGGCGATTGTGCCTCGTGGTGATGAGAGTCCACCCACCGGTGTCTTCCCGGGCGCCAATCCATCCACACCCAACCATAAGTGACGTATATGCACATGCACGTGTGTACGGAAACCGCGGACAGTGTACGGTGTCCCCATGTGTACGATTACACCATTTTTGCCAGTCCGGGGGGGCCGCACAACGGAGCGCTGCGAGCGAGTCGAGGTGGGCCGAAGCCCATAATCAAGACGTCACACGCCCTGAACCGTGACCTCCACACACGCCCTTCCACAGAACCGCCTGCGCCTCCGCACTCTGTTTAAGCGACCTGCTATAACTTTTTTTGGTCACCATTCGTGTATGTGGCTGTCTTTAAGTAGGGTTTCCATAATATCCCAGCTCCCGTATAGGTAATCAGCTGCAGCAGCTACTATGTCCTTTAAAAGGGTGAGAATGAGGTGGTGTTTGGGAGTCAGATTTGCTCCGGCTGGGAGAAGAAGTTATCCTCCAACTAACCAACCAACCAACCAACCAGCCAACCAACAATCAACCAATCAGCATATGTATGCGTGCCTCATTGCAAGATATACATTCAATGAACCCATATACATACACATATACCCTTGCACACACAGACACCCGGGCAGTTGGCAATTATCAACCAACCAACCGTACCTGTCATGTATTTTGCCCCCCCCTGCAAAACACTTCTCCCAAAGCCTGTCTCGCCTGGGCCGTACGGCAACAGTACGGGATCGTAATAGTCACATGGACATATACCGTGGCAGCCACATTCAAACATACAATCAATCCTATCAACCTTCCCGGCAAGACACAAGATCACAGCAACCTGCGGATCCGAAATCCATCCAGCTAGGAGCTGACCTCCCAAAGCTCACATGCTGCGCTCTTTTCATGCTGCGTTCTCCGCGCTTGTGGTCGTGCCCGTCGGGTGGATAGTTGGGTGGGGCCCGGATAACAGAATGCGGAGGGCGGTAGCAGCGGCAGCAGAACAGGCAGGCATATAGGCCATTGGGAAGAACAGCACTGTGAGGCCTTATGGGCGAAGCCCTATTATTCCCATATGTATCCATACGTACGGACTCTTTCATGCAGGGGAAAAACGCCCGGGTACGTCTGGGTATCCACATGCAGTTGCGAGATCGGTGCATCTACAGGTCCGCCGCTGGGCAGCTTTTCTGGGCAGTCTCACAACCTCGGGCTGCGGGGGTTGTTCCTCTTCGTCCGCCTGCCGGACTCCTCTGCGGTTGGGGGAGGGACGCGGGGCGCACACGGAGGCGGCGGCCGGACGAATGGCCTGATGAACGGACGAGCGGCTTCTCACCCCTAGCGGGTCCCTGCGGGTCCCTGCGGGTATATCGGCTCCGTGTGTTCTTCGGCGGACCTGTAAAAGGACGTGAATTTATATCGATGACCACATGGACCTCCACATTCATCCCTCCCTCCCTCCCTCAGCCGCCATTTTTCCTTTCTTTCTTTCCTTCCTTCCAGACTTTTAAAGTTCATCAAAAGCCAGCACGCACTGCGTCTGCTCATCCTCTTAGTCTGTCAGCATGCTCGACAGTGAAAATCCATCTGGTGGTGAGTGACTGCGTCGACAGGGGCAATAAACCTAGCCGCGCAAGAGCGGCCCGACAAGGAATCCTTCCATCCATCCAGGAATTGATGCATCCATATTTCCTCTTTCCCAAACACCATTGTCTGTGCATCAGAAAAAAGACCCAACAACATATTCCGCCGTTTTTTGCATTTCTATCACTTATAAATATATTTATGATTATAAAGGCCATGATGCCGTAATGCCGACAGTGATAATAATGAACGACGATGCAGTAGCAATCCCGGATAAGAGCTCGCAAAAAGCCTCCTCCTTATATCGAGAGGCATCACCGCACCTAATCTCACCGCACCTTCGCATCCTCTGCGCCCACAGGGCTGTGGGGCTCAGCAGTGGAGGGCACCCCCCCTTGTTGCCCATCCCCTGCTGCTATGCCGCCGGCGCTTGGCTGTCGGCGCACCGCACTTGGTCTTTTATTGCAACCACAATTCATCAGACCGACGTAGCGTCCTAACCGTCCCATATGCCAACGCAAACGCAGCGTATCGAAACACATCGCAGCACAATATAGCACTGACTGCAGGTTCGTGTCGTTCTTTCTGAAGTCGTCTTCTCGTGCATTTTGCCTCATGGAAACGCTGTCTTTTCCTCGTTGTTTTGTCGTCTTTGGATTGCGACGCACGATACAAAATGCGATACACAACTCCTTGGGACTGGATAGCGCAACCTTCCCCATTGACCATGGCGCCCCGTGCCCGAGAGGAAAGGTCTGTCTGCTACTCCAACTTCTGCTACCGCAACTCAATGCATTGTTACTACCAATTACTCCTAAAACAACCACTTCCACTCCTACGACAACAAAAACAACAACAACGACAGCAAGATGCTCCTGCGCCTATACTCCATGCCGTAGCAACTCAGCTCCTGGTCCTTGCCTTGCCTTGCATCGCACAACCTGCGTCGCTTCCCATCGATGAATCTCGCCGTTACGGCCGCCAGCACCGTCCCCGTCTGATCCACCCTCCTCCTCCCCCTCATGCTGTTTTCCCTCCTCATCATCATCGCTGTCTCCACTATCTCCGCTATCGCTGCCGTACTCAAAGCGCTGCGGCCGCTCCTCCGATGCTCCTAACGACTGCTGCTGGTGGTGGTGCTGCTGCTGCTGCTTCTGGTTATGAATGTGATTGTAGTTAAGATTATGATTCTGGTTATGATTATCACTATGATTCTGGTTACGTATGTTACTGTTATGGTTATGAATGTGGTGGTGATTTGCCACCGCCATTTTATCCCGCGGGTCATCGCAGTCGCAGTCGCGGTCATGATCTCGGTCCTGTGCTTGAGAAGTTGCGAGTTTCGCCTGCTGGGCCTGCTGGGCCTGCTGGGTCATGGCCGCGATGAGAAGTTGCGTCCTAGCGGCCTCGGAACGCGCCATCAGCGCGTTGAGAGCGTACACCTCCACACGCCGCCGCTCCCGCTGCGCCGCGTGTCGGTGGCGCTCCTCCGACTGGGTCGTGGTGATGGTGGCGGCGTGAGGGCGGAATGCGCGCATTCGTGCGTCCATGCATGGTGCGATCGGGGGCCGCGCAGTGGGGGGGAGAGCCATTGCGAAGGGGATGGGGAGAGAGAGGGGGACTTGGGGTAAGGAAGGAAAAATGATGGTATTGGGTTGGATGGGGTGGTTGCTGGTTAGTTAACATGCTCGCGCGGGCTAGAAAGAAAGAGGGGGAGAGAGAGAGAGAGAGAGAGAGAGAGAGAGAGGGGGAGGGAGAGAGAGAGCTCAGTGTTTGTCTAAAGACAGTGAAATTCTTGTACGTCTATAACTGGGCACGTGTTCTTTCTCTTCAGGGTTTGTGTGTTATGTTTTCTGTTTCCTGTTTGTCCCAGGAAAGGTGATATGCAGTGATGGAGGGTCCCTGATGCGGGTGAAGCACCGCGAGGGTGAAGCACCGCGAGGGTGAAGCACCGCGAGGGTGAAGCACCGCGAGGGTGAAGCACCGCGAGGGTGAAGCACCGCGAGGGTGAAGCACCGCGAGGATGAAGCACCGCGAGGGTGAAGCACCGCGAGGGTGAAGCACCGCGAGGGTGAAGCACCGCGAGGGTGAAGCACCGCGAGGGTGAAGCACCGCGAGGGTGAAGCACCGCGAGGGTGAAGCACCGCGAGGGTGAAGCACCGCGAGGGTGAAGCACCGCGAGGGTGAAGCACCGCGAGGGTGAAGCACCGCGAGGGTGAAGCAAGCCCACGTGCGCTGATCCCGGTCTGGGGACTGCCCGGGAGCCGAGCCCCCAATGCAGCACCTACAGCCATCACATTTCGAAACGGCGGCCATCGTCCTCCCCTTCTTGCCACTTCTCCTTCCACTGCCATTGTTACTATTGCCGCTATTGCTCACCTGCCGCTGCCGCTTCGCCGCCTCCTCCGCCTCCATAAGCCGCGCCTTCTCCCTCTGAATCCGGCTGTATGCCTCCAACCGCTCCTGGCGTGTCGCGTAACGGCAAGAAAAAATGGGTATGATGGCGGTATCATCAAAATTTATTTCCATGATGTCCCTGGAATAATGATGGAGGTAATGATGAACAAAATGAATGAGATGACAGAATCGGGCGCAATGACAGACGTCAATACATCAGATACAGCGCACAAGTCTATATACCAAGATAGGCCGCTTTGCCCGCAGGTCCTCCGCAGGTCCAAACCGCAATCCCCCCCCAACGGGGCACAGCCCCGGACACCAGGGACTTCATCTGGGCTGTTACGCAAAGGGGCTCCAGGGAGCTCCATCGCCTTCCTAATATCCATGAGCATCAGCATCAGCATCAGCCGGGATGTTATGCGGCCCATTATCAGCCACACAGCCACACAGCCGTCTCCGGACGCCCAAGGGGACATGGACTTTCCCCATATTTCGTTCTCGCCAGTGGCACAACAGAAAACGTCTTTGCCGATATTACATAGAGGAGTAGTGTGTGCCTTTGTGGGTCTCCGTACAGCAGGGAGACGTGTTTATGTGGCGTTTCCTCAAGGCAAAGTGGCATTTGATTTGTCCCAGGCTTCCTAACCCGAAGAGTCCACACCTGGGCTCGGCGGACGTGCTCCGAAGGCTCACGAACCGTAACCGATCCAAAGGTTCGGTTGGTGACGGCGCCGCCGCTGCTACTGCACGCCGACTCGCCGCCGCCGTCGGCGTCCACGCCAGCGTCCGTCGACCCTGGCGGCGGCTGTGTGTGATGAAAGCGCACCGGGGTGGCGTGGCGACCGGTACGACGGCGGGTGGGACTGCCGGCGGCGGCGGCGCCGCCGCCGCTAACGCTGTAGCTCTTGCCGGCGGTGCAGCCGGATACAGGGCCGGCGGCGCCGCCGATGACGAGAAGCGCCGTCGAGCCGCCAACGCCGCCGCCAGGAGTGGCGACGGCGGTGGTCGTGGCGCCGCCCGGCTGGGTGCCGACGCCGGGTTGCGCAGCTCCAGGCGGCGGCTGTAGCTGCTGCTGCTGCAGCTGCGGCGGCGGCGTGGGTCTCCGCCAGTCCGGCGGAGCGGCAAGTGACGGAGACAATGCGGGAGCGGCGGCGGCGGAAGAGGCCGCGGCGAAGGAGGAGATGGCGGCAGGCAAGACGGAGGATACGGTAGGCGCAGTTACCGTTACATCAGCCTGGTGATGCGGTTGAGGATGCAATGGAGCTAGATGCGGCGGCGGCTTTGATTGCGGGTAGGTCCCGCCTGGCGCGTAACCCATAGAATTGCGGCTGCCAGGGCCGCCGTCGGTGGCGGCAGCGGCCGCCACCGCTGCCGGCAGCGGCAGTAGCACCGTCGGTACGGGATCCAGCGGCTGCAGCTGCGGCGGCGAGCTACGGCCAGGTCGCGACTCTGCAGCCCCAACGCCGTCACCGGCTAAGCTGGCGGTTCCGCTGGCGCGACGTCGTTGCTGCTGCTGCAGCGGCGGCGGCGGTGGCGGCTGTTGCTTATGACTCTGGACGTGGTGATGGCTATTATGCTCCTCAGAGCCGCCACTTAGAAGCTCTGGCGGCTGCGGCGCCGCCGCCACCGTTGCTGCACTTATGTCGTACGGGTAACGCCCTGAGGGCGTAGATGTAAGCGGCTCCAGGGAATGGCGCCAGGAGCTGGTAGCCAGGGTGGCGGCCGCGCGCGGTGAATGGGGCTCAGAATGGGATCCAAAGGAACTGGACTTCAAAGGGCCGGCGCCTGCGGAGGCGGCGACGGCGCCTGACGGCGGCAGCAGCCCGGTGGCGACGGCGCCTGCGGAGATGCGATAGGTCGGGTTGGACTGTGCGATGATGCCGCTGATGCCGTAGCCTTGCAAGCTGAGGGCCTCGGATGCGGCGGCGGCGGCGGTGCCGCTGCTATTACCGCTGATGGCGGAAAGCAACGAGGTTGTGGAAGGATCGCGAAGGCGACTGGGCGGCCGGCTCAGCGGTATCAATGGCTGCGTGGGCGTTGGCGGCGTTGGCGTTGGCGGCGTTGGTGTTGACGGCGGTGGCGTTGGCGGCGGTGGCGTTGGCATGGATTTGAGGGACGGTGGACGGGATAGGGGGTTGGTGAAACAGACGAATCCCGAGGGGATTCGCGCTAGGGCCTGGTGATCTCGGTCGTTGCCGCTGCCGGCGTTGACGTTGGCGCTGCATCCGCCGGCGACGGCGGTGGACATATTCTGCAGTACGACAGCAGCCGACGGCGTCGCCACCGACAACGTCTCCGAGCCGCCAGCACATGCAAGGGCCGGTCCGGAACCTTGTAACGACGGCACCGCCGCCGCTGCCGCCGCCCCATTCGGCTTGGAACTGCCCGTTCTCATGCCGCCAGGTCGCATGACCTGTCCATACACTGATGCTATGCAGGCTGCGCTACTGCTGCGGCTGCTGCCAGTACTGGCGCTGCCGCCGCTGCCCCCGCTATCATTGCAAGACTTCATCGTCCGCTGCTTCGAACGAGAGCGGCGCCCGCGGAGCCGCCTGAGGGTGCTACTGCTACTGCTAGATCTCAAGTTGCCGCTGCTACTGCCGCCCAAGCTGCCACCGCTGCCAGGGCCGTTGACGCCGTCGCCGCTACTACGGCGCTTCTTGCTACAGCTTCGTCTGGTACTACCGCTACTGCCGGAGCGCGCGGCAGCTGACCCCAACCTTCGTTCCCGGGACCCAATCACCTCCCCTGGCCGCGCCTCGGCAGTATCCCTGGCGGTGCTGCTATCCCCGGTATTGCTACAGCCGCCGTCGCCGCCGCCACCGCCGCTACTGCCGCTGTTGCCATGATCTGCAGGGATCTTGCCGCGAGCCAGCGACGAGCCCCCCGGCGACGCCACCGGCCTGTGAGTATCAACCGATGTCGTACTTGACCTTGCCGCCGCCGTTGACTGTTGTAATGATAGCAACTTCGACCGTGTCTCTGCGGCGCCGCCGTACGCAGCCGACGCAAGATGCCCGGTTGTACGATTATGTCGTACCGAGGAGCTCCGTACAGCAGGTTCCCGCTGAGGTCGGGGGCTCTTGGCACCGCCGCCGCCGCTGCCGTCGCCGCTGTTAACATTAGAGTTATCCCCGCTTCTGCCGTACAGCTCCACAGGCGGAGGGCGTGCGCAGCGCTGGCGCATCGGCGGCGTCGGCGTGGGCCGGGGGTTTGTACAGCAGGAGGCGGCAGCACCGGGTGCGACTGCCGTACCATTCGCAACAAGCCCGGCGGCGGCGGTGGGAAGCCCCCCTTGCGGAACTCTGTCGTCCACCGGTTTCGCTGGCCCTGACTCGGCTAAACCGCCGGGCAGCCTCGTCTTGCTACTGCTACTGCTACAGCCACCCTGCGCCCCGTCCAAACAGTCAAGCCCCACCAATGACGGCGTCCCCAGTGCCGCGATAGCCACTGCCTGCGATAAGCCATTCCTGAATATGCTCCTTCGGCTAGTGCTACTGCTGCTACTGCCGGTATGGCCAGCGGCAGCGGCGACGACGCCGGCGGCGGACGCAGTGGCGGCGGCGTCAGCTAAACTGTGCCGTGCGCAAGAGCCCCCTCCCGTCGGTTGGGCAGTAGCCGTCGCTGAAAGACACGAGCGATTGCCTGTGCTGGGCCTGCTACTGCCGCTGTCGCTGCCGCAAAGCACCCTGCCGCCGCTGTCGCCTAAGCCGCCGCCCTGCGCCACACGCCAGCTGTTGCGGCTACTGCTACACCTGCCACTACCACTCCCGCAAAAATCACTGCTGCTACCCCAGCTGCTGCTGCCGGCAGACATGTCGCCTCGCGAGGCGACGCTGCTGCTGGTGCTGCTGTCCGTTGATGCACTCCAATGCAGTCCCTCCTGCTGCTGCTGCTGCTGCTTCTGCGACTGCTGCTGCAAGTGCGACTGCTGCAACTGTTGCTGCTCCTGCGACTTCTGCTGCGGCTGCTGCAAGTGCGACTGTGCGCAATTGGGTGGTTGTTGCAGTGGTGACGGCGGCTGCGGTACAATCTGCGGCAGCGGCAGGCTGTAGCAACTCTGTTGACCCGCCGACACACTTGGGGTCCCTAACCCCGTGCCCGTGCCCACCCTTCCCTGGGAGAGAGAGGCCGACCGCGAAAGCGACGCCACCGGCTGCTGCTGCTGCTGCCGCCGCTGTTGTTGCTGCGATGGCGTTGCGGCCGGCAGCCGTGGTGATGACGGTAACGGTGCTGCTGCAGCGCCGGTCGGCAGGGGCCCGCATGCACACACCGGCTCGCAGCCTTCCAGCCCGGCGTCGAGTCCAGTCCTGAGCCCAAGACCGAAGCCGTGTGCGCTCCCAGTGCAGTTCCCATCGTCTTGAGGAGGTTGTGATGGTGGCAGCTTATTGGCGGGCCCTTGTGAGGCGCAGAGGGCTGCATCCCTGCAGGTTGGATTGCCGGAGGCGACCATGGCGACCATGCCGGAGGCGACCATGTCCGGTGCCATGGTGGGAGTTGATGGAGTAATGGGCGGGTCTGGAAGCAATGTCGTCCCATGTTGTTGGCTGACTGGATTTGGGTCGAGCTGAATGGAGCTGGAGGCGGCGCCGACAGCGCTTTGGTCCGCAGCTGCGTTAGCTAGGAGCACATCGACGGTGAGGGTGAGGCCCAGGCCGGGCGCAGGCGAGGTGCGTGATACAAGGATGTTTTGGGATTGGGATTCAGATTTTTGAGGAAGGAGCTGACGGTGGTTTGAGATGGGAGCGGGCGATGTCGCGCCAGCTGCATCCGCAGGGACGCCAGAGCCGGTGTGCCTGGCGGAGAGGGAAGCGCGGGGGACTTTTAGGGATGCAAAGTGCCAACACGGGAAGCTGCCTGTTGTGCGATAGGAAAGGCGTTGTTGGTGAGCGCTTAGGCAACGGGCGCTATGTGACCGCTGGAAGACCGGGTGCCCTGTGGCCGTAGGAAGGCTGGAGCACATGCGACATTACCTCCCCTGATACATGAGGCCGTAACGCAGCGAAAACTGGCTCAAAAGTCGAAATTTACGTCAGTAACGATAATAGTCCTTACCTTAACACCGAGGAGCCGCGGACCTCAAGCATGACACCAGCCGAAGAGCGCCTGGTGCCGCGGTCGTCATCACCAAGACAGTTTAAAGCAAAAGGGCCCGCCTTTGCGTATCATAATTGACTTTCACGAGATCGATCATGTTGGTCAAAGGCTTTGGCTGCCTTCGACCCCAGAACCCATTAGAAAGCGAATGCTGAGGCTTGAAAAAACGAGGAGGGAAGCCTTCTGCCAGTGGACTGTATGTATAAAAACCATCTAAAGCGAAAACGTTAGACTACTCGCTGCTCGTACAGAATGCAGCTCCGAGACCTTAAGCATTCTCCATTAGTCGAAGCAGATTTACAGCTTTGGAATCAGGATGTCTCAGTCCGACGTGACCGCAGCGATTCGGGTTTTAGCGACTTTGTGTACCAATCGCTAGCCTAATCAGGTGCTTTCTACTGAGCGCCAGGCCGCAATCACATGACCTTGATAAGCCCTACCCTACGAAACGTCTGCAACAAAAGTCTGCGACGTCTGTCCTCCTTGCATCCCCGTAGACACCCAGCTTGCGCTTTGGCCTGGCCACCGCTTGGCCGATTGAACCCAAGCCTTCGCATCGGAGCTTCCCTGCCCTACTGCGCCCCGCGCGCGGAGCCTGGGCTTCATTCCGTCCTCATCTGTCATCCAAGGTAACAGTAAATTGAAGCGGGCTTACTGTCTAACATTTTCTTTTCCCCACTGTATTCGCAATGCGTCAGCACTTTCATCCCGGTACTTTACCCCAGATCGGTACCCCCTCCCCTGCACCTTCAGCCTTGTGTGACCCCAAGCAGCAACATTGATAACAGTAGTGGTGGAACTCAGAAGTGCACTTCATGCCGCGTGCCGCGTGTGCCGCGTTCATTCGGGCACCTTTCCCATCCGGGTCCCCTGTCTGGAAACGTCTTTTTGGACCTGTGATTTGTGTCCTTGGAGTTGTCGCTTGCTCAATAACTACCACCACCAGCATCACCACCAGCATCACCACCAGCACAACCAAATCACCATCACCAGCAGCGCAACCAGCACCACTATCAGCTGCTGCTGCGACGACAACCCATCCCAACAGCAATAACCTCCTTCCCAAAATTGGATCAGACTCCAAAGAATCGTCACATCTTCATACGAGAGTCGTACGGCAGTCGTACCTAGTCGTACCTTTCCACGTTTGTCCATGTCATCAAGAACATGGACAAATCCCTTAATTCTACCGATTAGCAGTTGTAGTGCTTAGCCTTCTACTTCATGTACTATTCCCTCCACGAAACCCCCTTCTTATTCTACGACGTGCTTTGCCCCCCAACACCCCCGCTTTTGCCTCCGTTACGCAGGTATCATCATCATCATCATCAACAACAACAACAACAACAACAACAGCAGCAGCAGCAGCAGTATTCCATTAGCCCCGTCCGGCCAACCATGACACCCAAACCCACCACGGCCACCGCCGCCGCAGCCGCCGGGGCCACTGAGCTCACTGCCTCCGCCGCCGCCGCCGATCTTTCTACAGCCCCCGGCGGCGGCGGCGCCGCCGCCGCCGCCAGCAGCATCACTAGCAGCAGCAATGGCCCCTCCGAGCAGCCCTCCGGCATGTCATCCGAGGCTGCCTTACTGGCGGCCATCAGCGAGGTTCCCACCCTGAGTCGGTTGGTGGTCCGGGCGGCGAACGAGGACCTGGGCCGGGGAGGAGGGAAGGGAGCAGCAGGAGGAGGAGGAGGAGGAGGAATTACCATTACGGTGCGTTTGTGTGGGGGGGGGCCTA